TCCCGTCACGGTAGCTGCAATCGGTTCACCTTGAACTAATGCGAACTAACCTACTCCCGATGCACGATTTCCACGTACGAACGTTTACAACACCTGCTATTCTTCAATGCTAACGAGGCGATTCGATTCGAGACGGACGCTCGCGTTTCGCGATTCCGTACCGTTTTAATCGTCGAACAAAGCCACGTTTGTGGCCAATCTCGGCTGGTCACGCGTGGTAATTACACGTTGCATCTCTCGTGATCAGCAAGCAGCTGCTGGACTATCTTTAAAACGATGGATATTCGAGTCTCAGTTTTGAAGCGAAAGTCTTTCAATATTATAAAAAAAAACTCGATTGTAAATAGCTCGAAACTACTGAATGTCTTGAAAAGAATTTTGAATATTCTTCCACTTTTCAAGTGCTTACTATGTCAGTATAGAAACGAACAACGTATATAAACGTGTTCCATACTTCAGGTTTTTCAAGAACTTTTTCCATTTTCCAAGCTTTTTCGTACTTACTATGTTAATATAAAAACGAATAAATGGTCTCAGATTTTCCACATTTTCTTCAATACATATTAATGATGTATTGTGCTTCGGACACCCTCATACCTCAGACTTTCCAGATTTTCTTTAATATATTACGTCAACGATACTCAATTAAGGATAAAACATTGAGAGCTTGTAAAACAGACAGACTCGAGATAAATCAACACTTTCAAAGCTCGAGATTAACCAAAACTTTCAAAAGTTTCAAGATATGAAATTATGTTCGAAGCGATTCAAAGCTTTTCATAGTCAAGACGAGACTTCGTATGAACATCAGACGCACGCGTTACATTTGGAGAAGAAGAAATTCGAAAAATCAAACATCTTTCAAAAGACTGCAGCTCAATGCTTCTCCATAAACGCGTCTGACGTTTGCGAAACGCACCCCCTTGGCGGAGAGTTTCGTTAGCCAAGGAATCGCGAAAACGTGGTATCGCGAGCCAAGAAAATCCACAAACGACCGCCGTGGACTGTCGTCGATCTTTCACGGTGAAAGCAACGTCCGTGACAATCGCGCGATGACCGCTCGACAGCTCGAACGAATCGGGAACGTGCGTGCGAGATATTCGCGGATTTTCATCTTTCCACGCTAAATCCGTCTTCCGGGGGCGCGTGTCCAACGCGACGCCGCGCGATTCATTCGAAGCTCTGCCAGAGTTATTCGAGGTAGCTGTGTTTCAACTTGTCGCGCGTAATTTGCACGCTTCGAGAGAAGTTAATAAATCGTATTATGGGCGCGATTTGTGCCTGTCACGCGTGAAAGATAATACCGTGGCCGGTGAAGTATTACTCTCGGGACATGGAGGCTTGAGAACGCTTTTCCGCAAGGTAACAACGTGGATCGCGAGTAAGCAGAGGGGCTTTCTCCTAATTCGAAATTGTGGTAGCGCGTGGCCATTTAAAGGGATTTTCCCTAGGAGGAATCGAGCGCAAGTGAATCATTGAGAACAACCTGGTTTGTTGAACCGGTTGAGGGATCAAGGACGACCGTGCGTTTCTTGCCTCAACGACGGAAAAGTGTAAATCTCGGTACTTAAAACACGCTCGTATTTTGCGGTTAACGAAGTGCCTGCTTAAAATCCTTTTGGCCCGTACTAATTCCTCGACTTATTACTTGCGGTGACTCGCAAAAGTGTTCGTACATTCGCCACAGTAGAAGACTTTTAAACGTATATTGTGCATACGTGAAACATTTTGAAATTTAATTGCAATTTAGCTGAAAATATCGACGTACATTTAAGAAAATTTATATATATATATATTGTGTACAGCGTCAAAATAGCTATTTTAAACAAGTGAATGGCATTTGATGTAATGGATAATTCATATTCTATTTCATTTTTAGAATCGATTAAAATTCCACGAAAATAATCGTGATAGTTGAACGTCATTACGATGTTAATGAAATTTTAAAATGTGGAAATATAGCTATATCGATTCGATGCAAATATGGCTTTTTATTTTTATCTTAAATTTGACATATTTATTTAATGATTTTCCAATTACTGAAATAAAAATAATTAAAGTAAAAAATGATTCGTTGCAACATGATACATCGTTGTATTTCTTTTTTTTTTTTCTTTTTTTATAAGCGTTCGGACGGAATTAATCCACTTGTACTTAAATACGTCAATCGATCGTCTTAATGACCGAGTCACTCGGACATTTCACAAGAAGACAAAACGATCTCTTCAAACCGAATGATTGCACAATATCGCAGATAAGAGAAGCTTAGAGAGAGAAAGTCATGATACTGAGAGTCTTAAGACGACCTTCGTTAATGGTAAGAACAAACAAAAAGGAAGGTCGAATTAGATAAATATAATTTTTCTTATCTAATTACTTCGTATCTCTGTTCTCTGAACTGCGGTTTCATAATTTTTTAAAAATAACTGCTTAAAAATAAATAATTGTCTTAGATAATACGATCATAAGATATACTATAATAAGATATAATTATTTGAGTATAGTGTAATAACATAATTGTGGATATTCATACAGATATTTAAATGGATATTCAAAGTAATGTCCATTCTTCGTTGTTTGCGGCTCGAATGTCGCCGTCGGTAATACAACCCAATTTGCACACGTGCACAAGAAACTGAGATCAACTGACACAGACTTCGTCACGTTGCATTCGTTGCAATATGATTTTAATTTGCATAATTAGCATTTCGTGGCTCAAGGATGCTCTCCTTCGCACGACGATATTTCGTCTCTACTGCGATTAACTTTGCTTCGACGAATTCCACTACGATTTGGATTTCGTTTCCCAAAAAGAGAAAAAAAAAAGTTGAGTATAATTATCAACTTCACGTTCAGAACAGTGAAATTACTCGTGTAATATTTACCAAACGTTAAATGGCTTGCGAGGAAAGACTTAGCTTCCGATTTATTCAGAGACCGTATTTAAATTGTCGAAGAAAAAGGAACGTCTAGACTAAATGACACGCTGCATACCAGAAATTTGCACGTTCATCCACGTTTTATGAGGACTCGGTACACGCGAATCAGACAATGAGACAATAAATATGCAGAACGAAAACCATGACGAATGACGAAGCTGTACAGTACACGATTTCCCTGTGACAACGTGCACGTATTTATTCTTATACATCCGGCATCCGGACTCGGAACAATGTCAATGATCGATGCCAATGAACCGTGCCTGAATTCCACTTTCATTTCTTTGACGTATCAATACCACGAATCGATTCCATCGCGACAACGTCATTGAAAGTTATTCAGGTTATCGATCGCGGAAAATATGATAAAAGATAAGATACGTATTACACGTTCTGACTTTTGGCATAACGGACAAGATCAACTGGTAAAATAGATAATTAATTCTGTGCGGTTATTCTATTCCTGATTTTAAACAAATAATAAAAAGTATATAATAATATAAAGATGATATAAAAGTAATGTAATTTTTGCAATTATCTTGGTTGATAAATAGGAGTAACTAGATTTTATCAATATCTCAGCGTCATCGGATAATTAGCTTTGTGAATCACCAGTTTATAGCTTCATATATCAATTTGCCGAGTATATTAGAATGAATTTAGTAGAAGTGTAAACACGCAATTCTACGATTTGATAATAGATATGAAATTTCCTTGTCCCTTGATTTATTTAAAAGGATTTTTGTAATCGAATAAAGAACGATTTTATTACTCATTATTTCTTATTACCTCTAGTTCCATGTGACTTTTTTTTCTTCTTTCCAAAAACGAAATCAAAGTTCAAAGTTTTGTTGCTTGTTTTACACCTGAATCACAATAGATCCCTGATAATAATTTTTGAAACACGAGAGGAACCACGCAAGTAAATTCAGACTTAGGATTGACAAGACTTTTGTAGACTAATCTGATTAATTTTTGATTATATTCTGTATTCTGTTTCTTTGATAAAATAGATCGAGGTCCTTCGTTTTAAAGAGCACTTCAATTATTATCACCGGATGCGACTGATATGCCCTTACAGAAAAGATACATTGCACTTGACATCTCGGCGTGGTGATAATTTTAGCTTGTTACAAGACATTTACGAGGATACAGCCGGGACCGTTTATTCGTTCACGAAAAGGAATGTGCACGACACTCACGAGGGATGACTTCCCGCCGCTACTGATTTGTCTACGGTGGAGTCGTCCCTGTATACGCTCGTAGGAAAAACAAAGTTCGGAGCTACAGATAACTTTCAAAAAATGAACATCTTTCCAATTTAGTGCGAATACTACGTATACAATAGAACTAAAAACAGCAAAAATACTTCTTCACAAAAAAATAGTCCCTGAAGACATTTCAAGACATCTCTTGTAAACTCATACTGTCTCTGAACATCCTCTGGAAAGTCTCGCAAAGAAAAACAAAAAAGAAAAAGAAAAAATACAGCTCCAATAAAAGAGCAAACGCGAAAGGTCACTGTCGAATCGTTAAAAAAAATCACAGTACCTTTTGAACGTTTCCCAGTGAGTTGCTATTTCGATCGGCGCCACACGCCGGTGTCTAGACCGAACGAGTTATTCTCGGCTCGCACTTTAGTACCATAATAAGCATCGACAAAGGCATTCCTTTGCTGCCATCTGTTAGAGAATGTAGCCAACCGCTCGCTCGGTTTGATTGACTACGCTCTGTAGAACTCGCGAGATACCGCGCAGGAAACAACAGTATTTCTCTGGATTATGTCGCGCGAGTAACTCGTTGGGAAACGAGCCAAGCATCGTGCTTTCCTTCCCCTGATCGCCACGTGTTTAATAATTGTCGGCATTCCGATCGCTGAATAGCAGAGCACCGAGAACATGTTTTTATTTCACTGTTCCCCGACCTAGGCTTTCTTCTTTCCTCACAAAAAGAAAAAAAGAAAAAAAAAAAAGAACCATCGAGTTACAGAGCGACGATTTACCACTGTTGAAAGCAGAGACGTGAGATGACAGTCGCAGAGATAATAAAACGTTCACTTACCCGTCTCCCTGAAGTCTGTTGTCGACCACTTGGGGGGGCAACGGAGTCGACAACTGTCTGACCAGATCGTCCCATTCCCTTTCTCTCTGCTGGAACTTCTCCTGCAGCCTTTGCTTCTGCTTTTGATACTCTTTGAACAGGTCACCGTTGTAACTTTGCTCGAGATGTTCTCCGCCTAGCGTAGCTCGAACAGGGATCGCGGTGGGTTCCGTGATCTTTGCCGCCACTCCGGTTGGCTTCTCTGCCAGAGAGTCTCTTCTGGAACTTCTGGCCGTCGATGGAGCGGGAGATTCTCTGCCTGCGACTCTACGCTCTGGCGTGGAAGCTGCGGAAGGCTCGGCTTTGATACCTAAAACGAGAAATATACAATAAATGTCAATATCTTAGAAATCGATACGTTCAACTATCTTGGTATATCGTTATATAAATCAACATTTCTGGGAATTATATTAAAGAACCTAATTCGATGCCTTTTTTAGAGATAAACTTGTCATTTTCAAGACACTGCTTTGCGAGCATTCCGATAGGAAATTACTTTCCAAGTCACTCTTCAGTTTTTCTTGCTAACTTTTATGTCAAAATGTTCTTGATCAGTTACTTCAATTACTACAGAGAAATCTTCAATTGAGAATCGAAAAGAATATATATATATTTTAAAATCCAACGCAAAGGCATCGAGCTAATTTCTACACGTGATAAATGTAAAAATAAAAATAAAAGGAAGGCATACCCTCGGGACTTTTCGATTGTCCTCTGGTCCTCGGTGGAGCTTTCGGTTGGCTGTTGGTCGTTGTCTCTTGTATGGAAGGCAGCTGCTGAAACTCGGCGTAGCTCGAGCTAAGAAAGACGTCACCCTCGTTCTCAAAGAGCCTGTCCACGCTGGTGTTCATTAATTTGTTATTCTTAAAACCGGTTAGATGAAAGCTCGCGAAAGATGATCTCGACATCGGGTTTATATCACCGGTGGACAGAGCCATTAGCGCCGCAGATGGTATCGGTGTATTTTTAGGCCCGGGGCTCCTTGGTCCAAGTCCAGCTTCTAAAGCGGGCACTAAACTGCGAGACATCATGTCAGCGGCGGATCTTGGCCTGGTGAACGGCATCGCGCTATGCGGGAACGTTTTCGGCTTTATGGGAGTGATCAACATGTGTTCCGTCCAGGAGGTCTCCAACGACGGTCGTTCCAGTCGTTCCACGTCCACGTTTAACGTGCGTTGAGCGAATGGTACGGCGAACGTTTCCGGCGGTATACTCTGCAGCCAGGAAAGTAGACTTAGGTCGGAATCGCTGAAACCGACCGAGCCGTCCAACAGTCTCGAGAAATTCATTTCCACCTGTAGAAAAAAATTCATGTATTAATCGATTTTTTTTTTTTTTTTTTAAACACAGAGTGTGTATACCACAATATTAAATATACGACGTAAATGGAAACAATTCTCATGTTCAAATCTTTGTTCTATTATTAAGCGTGTTCTGGAATTTATTGGCAGTGAAACCGTAATAACGGAAAATTTAGAAAAGAAAAATTTATTTTTCCAGACTATGAGGCTGGAAAAATGATTGAAGCCTGTTTCGAATGTGTTAAAAATTTCCTACAAGCATCAATGTCTCGACGTTGACGGGAAAATTGTAAAATATTAAGAGGGTTAATATGTAAAATCTGATGGTAGCTATTATTTCGAGTACCAATACAAATATTACTCGAAATAATCTTTTTCAACATTTTAAAAGAGATTGACAGATTATTGAGAATAAGAGCAACTTCGTCGATTTCAATTTTGAAGTACATCATCAAACTCAATTTCGAATATTCCCTTCCCATAATATTTCATATTTGTAACTACATGTACTTTAATCAATCCGATCGCCAATAAAAATGAGGTCACTCTCAATAATTATCAAAATAGTTGACAATATTGTCAGAATACCTGTTCGCTCTCCTTCGAACCGGTAGCTTTAGCCTGGCAGTAATTCACGCAAGACTCGTACAAAATGCCCTTGATGATCAGCTGTATGAGCCGATCGTTCTTCGCGGAGGTGACGGGATGTGCGGGGTCGGTGCTCTTTCTGTCACCAGGCAGAAACTTCTCGACCAACGGGTGCACCTCGCGGAAGCATTGAACTCTCGCGTTGCTCGGATTCCAATCCTTATACTGCAGGTGGTCCGTGAGCCGCGGCAGCGTCAGCAACAGGCACAAGCTGCTGTACTCCTCTTTGGATGGCGCGACCTTCTCGAGGTCGCTCAATACCTTCACCACCTCTTCGACCGCGTTGTCGACGCTGCCGTTCGTGCCGGCGGCGATCAGGTTCGCCTCGGACTTGATGCACAGCAGCTCCACGTACTTGTGCCTGAGGATCGAGTAGGTGAACTTTCTCATGTCGAAGTCCGGCAACGCCTCCAACGGCTGAATGAACTCGAGCACGTCGTCCCATTGCCCGTCGAGGATCAGCTGACGAAGGAACAGGACGTCGTCGCTGTACTGGCCATTTATCACGCCGGTCTCTCGTTCCAACGAGAGCTGCGAGATGTGAAGGTCGCGGCTGTGGAGGAACTCCAAGGTCAGTCGTACCACATCCTCCTCGCGCAGCGTCAGGTGCGCCGCCGGCATCACGTACCGAATACGCAACCTGGACAGTTTCCAGAGCAGAGAATTACAGCCTCGACCTTTCGATATCCAGCGCCACGTGTTACAAGAAATTTCATCGATAAAACGATTGTGCGAGAATACGATTGGAGAGTTTCGACGATGACACATAGTGGATCTAGCGATCTCACGCAAGTTATGTTATTTACGATCGAGATTGAGGAGAGGAACGATTTTGTGATAAAATTGGAAGACCTACATATGGAAGACTATAGGAGTGGAGGGGCATAGAATGTCGAAATTCGCTCGGTCAGTAATACTAAGGTTCAACGCATCACGATCTGATTCACTGGAATTGCTGTTCGAACGATACGTGTTATTGCGAAACTAAGTAATGCTACGCTCCCGAGTAAGGAATGTGCGAAATCCTTGCTTTTATAAGTTCGTTGCACTTCGAGGCCGTCGGCCCTGCTAACACGCCCTGATTGTCGCACGAACTGGGTGGATAGATTCGGACGTTGATCTGCCTATTCCCCTACTAAACTACTATTTCCTCTGCGTGAATGCAGTAGAAGCCCCAAACGTACCCACGAGTGGTAGTGAATCTTATTATGCGCTAAGTATCTACGTCTTTTATATTATATGATTTTGTAGTTTATTGTATTATTGTTGTATATTTTTGTTAGTTTATTATACATATGTGATAATATGACAATAAATCTAATAGATCCAGTATCTGCCTGAACAAGGATTTTACTTCAACAGAATATCAATGATATATTTACCAATAGGTTCCAATTAAGTTTACCTTTTCTTTTTATTAAAAAAGCAAATATTTTTATTTTTTTCAATTTGAGCGCGGACTTGCTGAAGTACACTACAAAAATAATTACAGACCGCAAACAGTTAAAACCTTCACTAAAATGCTCTTGAATCAATAGTCGAAAATACGAGCGTTGAGGAACCGTGTTGATGAACATTATTTTTCAAAATTTACCTTATGACCACTTTCACTATCTCTCTCTAATAAATAAATTCATGAAAATAGTTAAGCGCTTTATGAGTCGCGGATAATACTAAATCCACTGTATTTCAAACCTAATAAATCGCACACGTTGTATCAGATACATTAATTTAATGTTTCTAATTCATTCATCAGTCAAACGAGTTGTTATTTAAATGAAATCTGCGCGTTTAGTCGATTGGAACGATGACATGGATTTACGCAAAGACTATTATTAAACGTGGCCACTATATAACGATGATATTTCGTTTCGTCGCAGGACTTTTCAAGGATACAAACGTCGACGAAAACGGGGAGAAACTCAATATTTCGAGCAACTTTGTAAAATCTGCTATTTTATATTCTCCTGGAAAATCTCTTTCTACTCAACTTGTCTGAGAATCGAAGCACGAACGACGGTGAGTGCGAGTGAAAAGAATATCGTTATCGACTGCTTCCATATGGTGCGAAAAGTTTCTCCTGGAACGGTTCTTGATCGGGGGGGCGTGAATCGTGGATAGACTGCGGATATTTGTGCTTTATGAATATACTCAAAGAAACATAAAGTTTCGTGCGTTCATTTTGACGATTGCATGCAACATATATACGTAAGAACATATACGTATAAAAATGTGCAATATCTTCTTTTAAATAAACGAGCGTGTAAAGTGTCTTGTAGTCTGAAATTTTCTAAAAATGTTTGTGGAGAAATAGTTGCGAGACATAGATGGAAATGGAAAATTTATTCCATACTGTTTCAATTTCTCGAAGCAGTATAGAATACGAAATATGAAATCAAGAGAGAATGCAATAAGAAAGTTACGCGATACGCGAATTTCATAAAAACACTGACCCATAAAGAACTTCGGCGAACTTGCTAAATTTCCCAAGTTTGTAACATGCTGGCTTGGCAAAAGTGCGTGTACCAGATGTAATACGCGACATCAGCACCTTCGTTTATCAATTTATGTGATCGTGGAGCTTCGATCTGCGCAGTTTCGATCGAACCTTCGAATGATCAACGACGAAATACCAACAATGACGCAGTTAACGGTGGTAAGATTTCAACAATTAACATTTCAAATTTTCATATCATCACACTACCGCTTAAGAATTTAGAGCTGTGAATATTTCAACAGAAATAATACTTTATTCTCAATACACATTTTGTCTTTATAATATTGCAACTTTAATTAATCATCGATTAATTAATATTTTACAATTAAACAATCACATCAAATATCTAGTGTCTAATTATTAATAAATAAATTAAAAATCAAAGTTGAAATTATAGCATTCATACACCTTGGAGAAACGTACGAAGAAGTATGTTTCAAACTTCTGAGTAACAATGCATGCTGAATATATAACGCTTGACAACGTTTGATTTCAGTGTTTACTGGCTATTTTCTTAGTTAGTTATACAGTAGCTGACATTATAGTACAACCTGGCTACGAACATTCGAAAAAATATTCAACGCAACAACGTCAGTCTATAACTCAACCTTCTGAAATTCCTCAACACTCGGAATATACGAATATTGAATCAAACCCTCATCAGTCACAAGAAGAACAACAAGGATACACGGATCCAGGTTATCATTTGGAACTTCATCCAGTATACTCGGATGCGTACCACATTCCCGCTGAAGCACTGCCACCGATTTATCCAAACGTTGCGTTGCCACCGATGTCGAAGTCTGCTTACAGACGATTACTATCTAATTACGGAGCTGCAGGAGTACCTGTGATTCCACATCATTACGAATATCCTCTGGTGAATATTGATATTCTTATATTTCTGATATTTTAATTCGTGTCGTTCGTAATGTCTCAATCAAAGCTAATAATAACGATTAATCGGTGGTTTCTCTTAGCCAGTACACAATCGATACAGAAGATCTGATCCAAGCGACGAACCCGATGCAACGCGCAAGGATAACCATGATGAAGATGATGTGGCCACGAAGTCGTCCTTAGATGACTCGCTGTCAGTCGTTGATTTGCAAAATCAAGATAGTAAGTTAATTATTCCGAAGCATATTATTTAGTATTAATTATTATTTAATTATTCCAAATTATTAGTATTTAATTATTCCATATTATTAGTATTATATATGAAACACTGAATGACAGAGAGGTTAAGAGACAAACTCTGCGAGAGGTTCGTTCCTCGAATTTCGTTCGTCAAAATACGATACGACACCATCTGATTTCTAGATACGCGTAAAATAGAGTTCTATTTATATTGATTCTATTTATTGGAATGGAATTTTAATTATCATCCTATTTAATGAGTTCTTGTCAAGTTAATTAATTTATTTATTATGAACTTTCAATAGATGAATGAAAAGTTATAAAAGAATCAAAAATAAAAATCCGTTTCACAAACATACAACATCACAAAAATTTTATTAATGCACACTACGGATTGAAATCAAATTTCAAACTTTGATTGAAAAATTTTGGCAGCCACTATGGAAGAACAGAATTCTGAAAGAAGGAAATTCTACAGAAAAATCGACACTATATGAATTAGTCATTCCTTAATAGGTTCAAACAATTTATAAAAGTAATTATTTTCATTAATGTCAAAAATTCAAACAATTATGTTGTAAAAGTCACAGTACAACTCACCCAGTCGACTTTTCAACTACGAACTAAGCTTTTGTCAAAAATTTCGAACAGACCTTATCGAATAACAATCATTTCGACAGAGAAGCGCGTGAATACTCGTCAGAGCGTAACTCTGCTGGGCTTGAATCCATCGAACATGTATCCTGTGCAACAACAATACCGTTCCGCGGAATTGAACCCAACCTACGATTCGAATCAAAAGCCAGCTGGAAGCCAGCAAACGCCATCCCAAATAAACGCACGAGAAACGCAGCAGCAACAAGCAGCTACTTTCGTACAAGCCACAGCTCCTCGAACGAACAATGAAAATCTTCATCACGCGTTGCTATTGCAACAACCCGCCCATCAACAGTTCAGAGTTTCCGATCTGAGAAACTACCCGGATGTTAGGCCGGTCTCTCCTTCTCTTCAATCGTCGCGAATCGAAACAATGAAGGGTCACAGCGAACCACAAACTTTCACGGTAAGAATGGTCCATTTTATTAAAATCTCTACTCAGTATAAATGACTTTATTTAGTGAAATTATAAAAAAATTCTGTAGGTTCGATTTACATTGCTGGACTTGTGTCAATTCGTATCGTTAGAAATATTAATTAAAGTTGTAGAATATAGATATAATAGGAATGTGCTTTATCCATTAAATCTTTGATTATTTTATATGTTTTATATATATTATATTATATTTTGTATATTTTATATTATTACTTTATATATTTGATTTTCATACATTTTTGTTTGTTGCATAAACAAAATGCATAAATATCTGCAATTTATTCATCTACAATGCAGCACGCGAATAATTCTCAAATGATAACTGTTGACGTACTGTCAAGCTTGTTTTATTCATACGCGTGTTTTATACAAACATTTCCTCACAATGTTATGTTCCACGTTACGTCGCAATTCATAATCTGGAAACACGTGATTAACTTGGTTCCACGTTGCGGTAGGTAAACGAGTTAATTAATAAAGAATAACGAACGTAATTTCGCTTGCAGCCACCGAAACGCGAAGAAGCGAGCGGGCAGGACGAAATAGTGGGCACGAAGTTGGGAAATATCTACAAAATAAAGGTACATCAACACATGCATCGACACGGGAAATTAAACGGACTAAGACCGTTAGAAAACCCAATTATTGCTGACACTGAGACACCGACGCAGCAGGTAGTGAAAATTTACGACAAGCCGATAGATAATCAAGCGGCAAATTATTTACAAAACGTTCAGTACAACGTTATACCTCAAACTTATCCTGTTTCTAACTCTCTTGGAAGTAACGTGGATAATTATGTCTGGCCGTACCCGTGCTCGTCCCTCTCCTCGCCGATCAGAATTTGTTTCGAGAGCAACGATGCACAGCCTATCATGTATCAGCTAGCTTAAACGAATCTCGATTTTGCAAATTAAACGCAATTGTGTTTCTTGTATTTTCCGCAAGACGTTTTATATCACGATGTTTTATATTTCACCGCGTGTCTATCAAGTGTACAGGCTTCATCGACCTTAATCGATGATTAGATGGACATTTTTCAATAAACGTACAACCACAAACACCAAGGCGCGTTCAAGTTTTCCAACCCTGTAAAGTGTTACACCTCACGCAGTCACGTGCTGTTAACGACAAGACGGCGCATAATCGGTTCTTAACGCGTGTTCGCCAACCGGATTCTCAACGTTCGGTCTGGGTGGCCGCTTAATCACGGAACCGATTCTAAAATACGACCGCCAATACGGTAACCAATTGATCGAGTCGATGTATGCATTAAAAATTTTTGGTTGGATACGATATTACGAAACAAGAACGTGCCACTCCATTCGTATAAATTATTAGAGTCTATGGTTTTTGATGTGTATTGAAAAGACACGTGAATACATGTATTAAAAATTCACATTTATGTATGTATTTATTCTTTCATCGTATGTGTGAAAACGTACGATTTATTATACGCCTTCTGATTTTTGTGCTTTATCATAACAAATTAGATTACTTTAATTGCATATCTTGTCTATCGGACGTAGAAATTATTGCTTAAAACAAACTGGCGGGCCCTTACCTCTACTTTTCTGTGCCCCACTCTTTCATGCACGACGAGGAAATTTCAATGTAGTGGGGAGATCGCTGCAGTGGAGGGGGTAACGCTAACGATCAGGAAAGTAGGGGCAAGCTAACTCGCGAGCCGCCAGTTAGCTGGCCCTAACTTAAAACAATTAATTACACGTATACTCGTTTATTTAAACATTTGTGAAATAGAAACCGCTAATACGAATGCATCTGAGACTTACAGAAAATTCCACAAGCAATTCTCACGATCGAGTTATCGTGAGAAACCATCCATTACTTAAACGGAGTCTTAAATCACGAAATCGCGAAAGATTTCCCTGCCATTAACCCCGACCATCCCTCAATTAGTATATCAGCAGCCGTCGGGGATGAACTTTCGTCGAAGTGCGCGTTTCGCAGCCAGGTTGCAACAGCGATGGTTGCGGACTACGAGACAGCCCGAGCGACTGAACGAAAATTCAATTTCGGACACAATTTGCCGGCAGCGTTAATTGGCCCGAACAGCGAGGCGAGAAGTTTCGCCAGTGCACGACGACCGGGCCATCGAACGCCAGCAACCGGAAAAGGAGGGCAAACAGCGATCGTATAATTTCTGATTCCTCGCTCGGGACCTGAATCTCTTCCCCTCTCTTTTCGCCTCAACCTCTATTCGGGATTGGACAAATTCTATTTTAGAACGAAGACGAGAAACGACAATTTGAAAAAGTGAATCCATCTCCGGTAGCGTAGAAAAAGTAATTTCGTCTTGCGTTCAAGTCAAATAAATCACTTGGAAATAATCTTTTATTTGAATGAATTCATTGAAATGAAGTTAAATGATCCCAGGGTCAGGTGAAGTTTATGCAACAGCATTATTTATTATAGCACTCGTTCGTTGTAGGATACATACGCAAATACGTACGAGAAATATGTACACTCTTAATACAAAACATACACGTATACCTGCTAGTTCTTATTAAATATAATTTCTATTTAAATGCATCAAATTAAACTCATGATAAAGTACATTTGTACGCACTTAATTTATTTTTTGCATTTAAATTTTATGCACGGCACATAAATTATAAAGAAGAAGGTGAGGAGAGAGTAACGTGTTATTTAAACAATCTTTTCTCCAATAATGTCCAACGTCTGTCCCCGTCATCGTTCTCTCTACGAAACGTAATTTCTTCGAAGCTGTGAAATTTCAACGATGTTTGCCGTTCGTTACGCTGGTCGAAAGTGCAAGCGACGAGATAAGGAAATTACTTCGTGTAACGAAGTTTGGAGACGTGCCCCGGAGAATACACCGGGGCCTATGCAGATTCGCTCGCGCGATTACGGCTAACAGATAGGCGAGGCGAGAATGTGAACCGGAGAGGGATAAATTCAGTATTTAACCGTGGCAAGATTCCCCGTTCGCGTGTCTTCCCGGGTGAAGAACGAGCGGAAACGAGCAAGTTTTCGGAAAGAGAACGTTCTCTTCCGCGACACGTCGGAGATTAATTTTCCCGAGCAACGACGCGTCTACTCACTTTTTGTCGAGCGACCGAATTTAATTTCCCTTCGAATGGGAAGGAATTGGACAAAACGTCGCGCCATGCGAGGCAGGATCGCTGTGGCACGAGAAGTACAATTCTCATTCAACTCTTAAATGGACGATTAAAGCCGGCGCGGTTCAATCTAATTTTAAATTAAAATTTCAAATAATATGATATATATAATAACGATAAAAATCTACATTCGTTCCTCATTTTTCTTCCAACTTATGTAGTTCGTTGTAACGGAATGATAAATAGTTCTTGTGAAATTCATTGACAATGAATGAACTAAATTTCTGTTCAATCGTGTCGTACGACAAGTCAAACGATATAATTAATTATGTTTATAAATAAAAAGCTTGTAAATGCGTGTTGAAAACGCGGCAGCAATAAAGAGCAATAAACCTCATTGCAAAATTATGGAACATAAGACGCGAGATGCAGCGTGGTTCGAACCCCACGATAATCGATGCCTCCTGCTGTATAATCAAAGCTAAAGTTCGCAGCATGGGTTCCGCTTCCGTTCCGCTCGGATCCGTGACGCGTTTACTCGGCTTTCGTTGCCAGCCAAACAATTCGGCTCCAATTTCGTTTTAATTACGCCGCGATGCTTGTGTTTCCATATCAAACGAGCAATCTTATCACCGACGATCGAACAGATTGTTGCACAAATCCACACGTTTTTTTTTTTTTTTTTTTTTAAATTCTTTGGATCGAATTTTTTTTTAACAGCTCGAAGAAGCTGATGCTAACTCCTCTTTACAGCAAATCGTCTGATACAATACGAATTGATATTTCAGATATTCAGATACCTACGGTAGAATATAATTATCTAAAAATGCAAAATAAATATTCAAATTAAAATATGAGAAAGACCTTACTGTTTTAATGTACGTTAGATTGTATCCTTTTAAAATTTCCATTTATATGTTTAATGAGTTCGTTCGGAGAAGGAAAAAAACTCTCTTTCCACGTTACGCAGAAATGCTACGGAAACCCCTGCAACTGAATGCTTTGCTGCCATTGCTTCTTCTTCTACTTTTTTACCGATTAAAGAAATATAATTGAATTTGATTTTCAAAGGAAATACTATGCAAGAGAATCGCCGGACAAAGAGCGATGAATATGTCGGAAGTCACAAAGTTGTGCGAGGCTCGATAGCCAGACGAGATTGTCAATAATGGGTAAATGGAACGAAAGTTTCGCCAATGAAACTTTCATTTTCTCTCTCTCTCTCTCTCTCTCTCTCTCTCTCTCTCTCTCTCTCTTTGTATAGCTACCGGTTTTTATCATGTTGTAACTCGCTACGCTAACCGAGTACGTCGACAGCTATTCGTGGACGTTGACCGTCTTCTTATTAAAATGGCTAATTGATATGAAATCGATGGGGGAAGTGCGTTTATTGAACGGAAATTGCGAATCGTCCGCTAATTGTTCCACCACGTTTACCATCCTATAACGGCTGAATGCAAGCTTACCGTTATTCTCGTAACAACTATAGTTCTAAACGACTATAATTAGATACATACTAGTTAAGAGGAGTCCGGCGTTTGTCAAACAAACGATCGATATTTCGTTGCACAAGTCATTGTATGCAAAAAAACAGTAACTAATAACTCGATTCATTTGGACGACTCCGATTATTACTCTTTTTTTTTTAAAGCAATAAATTATTCGATACGTTCGAGAAATGGAAATACTGAAAAGTATGACATCTTTACGTATCCGTGATTAAGTATACAGTAATTAGATGCGCGACTTGCAGCTTCGGAAAATATAGAATTTTGTATAATCTCGATTAAAGTGGTTTCTGCAATGAGGAGACTTTGCCTCGCAGTAATTTGGAGCAAACTGACGGAAACGAATTCAAAGTCACTCAGAATCAGATTATTTTTTTAGATGCTTTCAATGAGTATAATTTAAACATTCAAATCTCCTTAAAATCTTCAATGCCGTAAAAATAAATCAGAACGAAAATATAGAATTGTCGAACAAAAAACTAAAGAGAATCGACTTTCTACCACGCCCAAATTTTCCAACTTTCCAAGCAGTTGTCCGATTGAAGGCAAAAGTAAAAAAGAAAAGGGAGAGAGCTAGAGAGAGAGAGGGAAGAAATAGAGAAAAGCTCTTTAATTTGTATTCTCGAACGAAGGTTAAAAAGAAAAAAAAAAAAAAAAAACTCTCGGTTGCATGGATATCGCGTTGCCCGCAGCCGAGTAGCAAAGAGACACAAAGAGCGAAGTTTGAAAATCTCTCTCGGCCGCTTTGAAAGCCGGAGGTCGTTCCTCCATCTTTTCGATGCCGGCTGGCGCTTAATGCCCGTAGCCAGACCGCCGATTCCTTTACTATCGGTGTTTCTCGGCTTCTCGCCGCGTTCGTAATTCCGGCTTTCAGACGTTCAGACACGGCCACCGTGACACTATTACGTACGATTCTAACAGCTGGTTAATTTATTCGGCGGCTTCTTTCAACGCTTCGCGCGGATCGATATCTCTCGCCGATTGATAAATCGCAATAAACAGAACGCCGTTGAAAACGTCGAGAACTCTGAATCTTCTTCGTTCGTATTCGCCGGCGTTGAACGATCAACGAACGCGAGAGATTGTCCTCGTTAACATGGAAATGCGATTCGCAAGTTGAATTCCCTGTGCAAATGCAGGGAGTTTGGTCTTGAACTTTGTCTTACACAGGATGCTCCTGTTTTCGCAGTTGCGTGGAGGGACGTTGACCCCGCTTGCAAAAATAAACCGGAAGAGGAAAGAGAAACGCTTTTTCACGTGGGACCTCAAGAAACTCGAGCTCGGTATATTTGTATTAATTTGTATTTTAATCTGAATCGACTTGAATCGGGCAATTTGGTACATAAATAATCAAATAAATCCAATTCAAGTGTACATGTGCTTGGGAAATATTTAAAATCAATTTCCTCGAAAACGTAAGAGTTACATGAGAAGATAATGTTTCCTATTTATCGGCACGATGAGAACTAGGACACTCTGTATATAAAATCATTGTTCCGCATAATTATATACTCGATAGCACAATTTAATCGTACAGAAATCTTTCTTTCGTTAGAATCGATTCGTCGAAACTTTCATTGCTTTTTCGGATAAAAACTGGTTTCTGAATGGTCCACTCGTTTTTCAGGATATTTCATCAGA